AGCAAATTAACTTATCTAAAAAAATCATTCAGAAATGAGCTCGTTCTCTCAAAAACATGTAAATGAACTCGTTATCTCTAGAAAACTTTGTGAATTAACTCGTTATCTCGAGAAAACACTCATCATTATGTCGTTATGAAGAGAAAACCATGGAAAAATATTACCTGTGGAAATGTCCGCTCTAGGCTTCCGTAGAAAGCTTCAGAAGCAGCAGGAAAACCTTCTGAAAAAAGAGCTTTGACAGAAAAATTAAAGCCAGTTTAGGTTTTTTTTTTTTTTTTTTTTTGCATTAATTCTTCATCCTTCAGTCACGTCTCGGTGCTCGCTGATCATCTGAGGAACTTTTCTGTTCAGTTCTCCTGGTTTCACAGTAAAACATTTGCAGGAACGTTTTSTCTGTACAGATACATCAGAGAGGTGCATTGTGGGAAATGACAAATGTTTGCATGTTATTTTACTGTCCTGTTTCTCAGATCAGACAGCTTTTATTTGAGCACATTTCTTATAAACCCATCCTTTATTTGTCKGTTAGTGCAGAGGAGACCGTCCTGGGCTCGGTTCTGCTGATCCGGTTGTATCTGTACGTTGAAATGTTCCTCCATCAGGAGGCGGCTCGATGTAAACGCTTCACCGCTTCAGGTGCCAACAGGCATCATGTTTGTTGTAAAGGATTTTCAAAGGAGACTTTATGAGATAAATACAGTATATATAAAATAAATCTATCTGAAACAAATATATTACATATGGAACAATATGCATTTCACACTCACTGGCATCGCTTCATGGATATTTATTTAAATGGAAGCAGCAGGAACAATCATGATTAGAAGTATTTATTTTACAGTCAGTCAGTGGAGATGAAGATGTTTGTCTTTATTCTTTTTGTTTAGTTGTTCCTCTTGGTGTGCTGTGGCTGCTGATGCCCTGCTGGCTGAAGATGAACCAATAAAAACTGTTTCCAAACAACAACACTGTGACTCAGTTTATTTTTTACTTTTATTAAAAATGAAGCAGAATCCTTTAGAGGAGAGTCTTCAGCCTTCTCCTCATGACCCACTGTTCTCCTCTTCAGCTCTCCTCCAAATAATTTAATTAGTCAGAACGTGATGAGGTTCAGCTGCAGCCTGTCAATCTATGGAAGTAAATATATGCCATCAGAATTTGAATAAAAAATGCATCTGAATTCGATTTTTTAATAAAAAATGAATTCAGATGCATTTTTTATTCAAAAATTGAATTCAGATGCATTTTTTATTCAAATTCTGATGGCATATATTTACTTCCATATTTATTGTTGTTTTTATT